AAACCTGTTTTTCATCTGTGAAAAAACAAGGTAACTTCACAACTGCCAATCAGAACATCAGAAAATGTCACGATGAATAATGACTCAAGGTAAAATAAAACTGCCTGAAGCGCGGGAAAACGCGGGTGATCAAGTTGCGATTGGTTTTAAAAGTAATCTGAGATTGAGTCTGTTTTACTTTGTTTCTCCCTATGATTGGTACAGAAAACTCGCGTCACTTTCTCAACCAATCAGATTCAAAACTGAAATCTATTCGTGACTCGATCACCCGCCTTTACCGCGATTTAGGAAGTTTGCTTGTTTTCCTGATGAGTTCTCATTGGCTCTTTTTCTCCTCTTTTGATCGGTCGTGCAAATTTTCTAAACCAATCACAGGGTGAAGCAAAAGAACAATTACATTACTTTCTCTTAAGTGCTCCACAAAACCATGGTTTAAAAAACACGACATAAGCCTATTGGATATTATCCACCGCTATCATCTTTTAGTTTCAATCTAATTGACATATTTCCTCACACTTCCTAACTAGTCTTAATCACACTGAACTTACGCGTGATGTTTTTTGATGAATTGTACTGTAAACACGAATTTTTGCAATTATAAAAAAAATGCAAATATATTTTTAAGCCATAAACGACAAAAGAAACTAGTCAGTTGTTTCCCAAATGTTTTAAAACATTAAAGTTGAATGGGTTGTTCTGGCAGTGACCTCTAAATTATTTTTAATAGTTTGAATATTTCATTGTATTGTAATATATCTACTTAACGACTAAAGATCTGCGAAGATCCAGTCTCGGGATGTCATATCACTAAATGAATTTGACGCGACTTCATGCTCATGCCAGAAGACGAGCGAAGTCGTTTCATAATGTATAACGCTGAGAAATTAAATTCCTTTTTGAATTTTGACCTGCAGTTTTACTCTTAATTCATATATTAGGTTAGTTTCGTTTCCACGAAGGGAAGAAATAATTTAAGCCATTCCTCTTACTTTCGAAAACTTAATTTCATACCCTCGTCTTTAAATATATACTTTTTTAAGGCATTTCTTAAATTGAAAAAAGGCGGCGAACACAGGTGCCTTTTACCCACATGGATAAAAGTCAAATTTTTACAGGGAATCAAACCAGAAGAAATAGTTTGAATAAAAAATAGCATATTCCCCACCACATTATTTAATCACTCATATTGATGAAATTAATTTCTTGCACTTCAAGATGTCGCAACGCAATATCTTGCAATATCTCCTAACGTCAAGTGTCGTAACGCAGTATCTCGTAACGCAAAATCTTGTGACGCAATATCTTGGAACGCAAAATTTCGTAACGTAATATCTGATATCGCAACGTACTATTGCGTGACAATATCAAACAGCCTTTGCGAAGGAGACTACCAATACGGGCGATTTATACATTTTTTTCCATTTTTACGCACAACCAATGGTAAACGAGACGTCACGCACAAACTGTCTTTACTAATACCTAATATTTCAGAAATTTAACGATGACTTCTGAGATGTGTTTGCAGAATTTCTTGTATCCTTTTCTGGTCATGTGAAGATAGTCGAACATGTCTTCGTGACTAATAACTCCATCACTTCTGACAAAGCCTGGATCCGAGTCCAGATATAGAGAGTTTGGTATGGCCTCAATCAGTTCTTTGAGTGAATGGTTCACCTGGAAATGTTTCTCGCGGAGAGGGTTTGGTTGTTTTCCTCGTGGAAGTAGACCCTATTAATCAGGAAAGGAAATTAAAACCTTAGGCTGGAAAAAAGAAAGATGATACAAATTCCTGGAACGAGAGGAGATATAGATAAGTTCCTTTTTTAAGGTTGGTTAAGCTGTGTAGGCGCTGTGATTGAACACAGGCTTCCCACCCAAAATGTCCTTCTTTCAAAATGGGATGTTCCTTAAGATGGTTTTTAAATATTTCCTTACAAACCCACTTAAATAAGCATGGCATTCCACCAATCCTACTTCATGGCATTTTGTAAAATGCAAAGAACCATCTTATCTTACCAGTACAATGATTTTTGCAGAAGGCAGCTTGCTTGTTATACTCCATACAACCGATTCAATTCCTTCTACAACTTGGTCTGCTGTACTGTGATGATTATTTGTTCCAATCAATAATACAACAACCTGAAATCAAGAAAAAAAAATTGTGCTCAAATCAAAAAAATTTAATTAATAAGATTAATTTGGTTTTATCGACTACATTGGTAATGGAAATTGGCATCCATGAAGAGTTTCTGAAGTTGACATTTCCAGCATTAGCTCTCTGATCAGAATGAATGATTAACCTGAATGGCTGGGGAAGAGGTAATGCTCAGCTTTAGAAACTGTTTCCAATCTTCAATCTACATTATTAATTCAGTTGATAAAACCAAATTATCTTGTATTGTCTTGAAAATCTTCGCTATAAAGAATGAAAATAATATTAGTTAATTTTAGGTGACTTGGCAAGTAGCTGCTACCTCTGCCTCCTTACCTTGGGATTAATATTATCCAGTTCTCCATTTTCTATTCTCCACAACACATGCTCTGTACAATCTCCTCCAATTCCAAAATTAAGAGAATTTAGGGGTGCAAAGTAAGTATCCCAAGCCTGTAGGACGAAAGGAAAAGAAAAAAATGACATGATTTACCTACGAGAAGCCACAAGAAACTGGCTCCTTCCATCACAGAAGGGACAAGAATTGGCAGAGCTAGGGGAGGGAAGGAAAGTCACTTTCTTACAGTCTCAACCTGGAAACTTCCCAGATGCCCTTGTACCAGCACCTGCTTTTCTCTTTTAGCCCTCTTTCCCTCCCCCCCACCATACCTTGAATACATTTTTGTTCTCCCCCCCCTACCAACTACACTGATTCATCCAAATTAATGTGGGCTAATATTGGCCAATACCAGCCATTGTGGGAAAATTGTAGCCGCTACATGGAAGGCTACAATCCAGAATCATTTCTACAGTTCAAATGAAGGTTATATCTTCACTCTGGAGTTGATTGAGATAGAATTCAGTTTATAACATAGCTAGTAAATTTGTCTAATCAAATTCAATTGTGCGAGCATGCTTCATATTCCTATTGTGCATACTCATGACATCAGCAAACAAATTCCTCAAAAAAAAATTTTCCTTTGGGTTGAAAATGTGATAAAATAATTGGTTCATACGTCAGCTGTGCATTCATCAAGATATGAAGCACTTGCAAAGTTACGCATCTTTCGCGCTCTCCAAACTTCCTGTGTGCTTCATATCTCAAGAAACGCACGCTGACATATGAACCAATTGTTAATTAAAACTAGCCAATATAAAAGATATGTTTCAGATCAATATTATTACCAGCTTAACCAATTACCTCAGTCTCCTTCATATTACGAATCAGTGAGTCGCCAATGAATAAAACATTACATGGAGAAAACTTGCCATCATGTAAAAATCTCTCATGCTAGCAAAAGGAACAAATGAATTAATAACTTTAAAAAAAATTACAGTTTTAGTGCAATTAAAAGTTATATCATTAAGACATAAATAACTGAGAATTTCACAGGGAAAGCTTTTTATAGCACACTAATTTCCTGGATCTCTCTTCACACATCCTCTTTCACTCCAGGAGGGAAGGATGAAGAGAGAGACTGGAATCTTGGAGAATCAAAGTTCCTAGAGACTAGTCTCCGTTTCCCTATTTTTCTCACCATGCTCATCCATCTGTTATCACCTTGGACGTCCTTCACAGGTGTTGGTAAAGTAGCAGGATTTGACATCTTGCATATAATTTGTCTAACAGTCACAAAACTGCAACTCCTAGCACAAAAAGTAAGTCACATCAACAACTCTGCACAAACAAAGCTTATCTCAATTTCTGTGGCATGAGGTGACCAGGGGTACAGCTACACTCCCTGGTCAGCACATGATTTACTGCATTCATACACACTGATAATATACCCAGAGTGCAGTTTCCCATGCCATGCATATTACTTGTAGATTTTTCCAAATTTAGTTTTGAGCAAAAAATTTTTAAGGCTATCCTGTAAGAAGCAAGAACTTTGAATTGCTGAATAGATACTTGTATGTAAATGGTTGTGGTCATTGTTTACAAGAATACCAGGGATCTGAACTCATACACGTTGATGTGTTGTATTTATTTTCACCAAGGGTAGCTGGCCTCTACAGACAGAATGCCAACCATTACCAGTTACGCCACCTGCCAATTACCCTGAAAGCGCAGCACTACACAATTTATACCTCTGGGTGGAGAAAGACACAGTAAGATCAAGGTATCTCTCTTCGGGATAAAACAACAGCCTGACCAGATATTGCCCTTAGACATCTTGATCCCAAGTCTTGTGGAATAACCCTTAAACACCCATGAGTGACCAAGACAGAATTTCTCCTTACAATATCAATACAATGTCAAACAGATAAGTGATGAGAATAAAGAAAATTATCAATTTGGGGATAATTAGTTGATCCAATATTAAATTCTCTGAACTAACATTATAAGAATTGTATGGTTGACAGTAAGGAGAATTACAAACTTGATCTGAGAGTTAAAGGAATAACTGCATGCCACCAGGTCTCCTACAGTCAATGACTTATCACTATCATTACTATCTGGGCTGTGATTCAATTTTTTTTTTGTCATTATCTGGAAACCTTAAAAATATTAACAAGATAATTTGGTATTATCAACTGGGTTGGTAATGTAAATTGGCCCCTGTCAGAGCCCTGATCACTGTCAGCTTTAAACTCTTAATGGTGTTCAATTTACATTATCAACTCTGTGACAGAACCAAATTTCCCCTTGATAGCAAACCCTCATCATTGATACATCTGTGATCAAAAATAAACTACTCAGGAAGATGTTGACTATTTTATCTCAGTTTTTTGAGGAATATCCTTTGGAACTGTAAAGATCTTAAAAAATTCTATCAAATTCTATCAGGGTTTATCCCCTTTTTTTAATTTTGTTTTCCGCATTTTGTTATGTCAACGTTGTGGAAATTAGACTTGTACGTGATCCAATATCAAATTCCATATAAGCAGTAATGTACGTCCATCAAAAAACTTTACGAGTATGACTGACAGCAAAAGAGGAAATCTCTAAAAGCCATTTCTCTTAGTTCAAATATTCAGTGAAAATTACGCTCATAGGTCAAAATTCACCTTGTTTCTTTAAAAGTTACTTTACGCTAGCCCCTGTTACAAAAAGATAGTCACTGTGATTCTTTCCTGAAAAATTGACTTGTGCACATTTCGCGATAATATCAAGTATTCACAGCGAATCCGCCGATGATTTAAACACAGATAATTTGGTCGAGATGAGGAAATAGTTCTTCGGGAACGAAGTTAATTTTACGAACTTACAGACCTCCATATTCCAGTACAAAAAGAAAAGCAAAAGGTTTTAATAATTCAAGATTAACATCCACAGAGCTTTCATAAAACAAAGGTATGAGGACGCCGCTATAATCCATCCGAGAATAGATGTTGATATTGATCGTTCGCGTCCTTGACATCCCACAATAATAGGAAAATATTTCACTAATTTTTCAGCAACTTCGTTTGC